AACGTTTTTATCTATTTCTGCACGGTTAATTTTAAATAATATTAACATTTTTTGTTCAGTAATCGTTTGTTATTTATATGCAATGACTATAATTAACATTATACTTTCTGTCCATGTGTTATTATTGTTGGTCAACATTTCTTGTATGATTCTAATTACTTCCCTTTTTAATGTTCAATCAGTTCTAAAAATAGCATTTAATAGGTAGAGGGACTTGTTTGAATCAGGATTTTCAAATTGTTTTACTGTAGCCACATTAGAGTGAATGTAGAGATTTTAAAAGTTTTCTTAAAATACAAAGTTTGAAAATAATCAATATTCAGTCAGCAGGCTAAGAAAGTAATTAGTAAAGTTAGCTACCAGAGTATAATTATCCATATATATTTAGGATAATAACCGATAGTGAAAACATTTAGTTTTCTTCTACCCATTTCACTAGCTGATTTATTAGAGAAACTAGTCTTGGAGTTTGCTTTAAGTAAATGGATTAACTATATTAAAAGCTTCAAAGCCCAGTTTGCTATTACTTGCAAGACCCTTCACATACTGGTGTATTTCTGAAAATGCCTACTGTATACACTCTTTGTAACAACATTCCTATGTTCTACTCTTATTGTGAAAAGACGTTCCTTAGTTTCTTCTTTCCGCCTCATGTTTATTTTTGGTTCAAAATAAGGTTCCTTTAGTTCACATTATTATTTGCGATTTTAGTTTTCTAATTATAGTATTTCTGCTGTAGGTTATTTACTTGACCACTTTAGTTTTTGTTTTGCTCGACCCAGCATACTGATGGCCGCCATTTCAACTCACCGTGCTTGACTGTTCCTACTTGAGCGTTGTCAAGCACTATATATCTGTTAAGCCTTTAAGCTGATTGAACTGTTCTGTCATTGCGGTGTAACTGCATTCCTTATTATTTAACAAGTAATTAGTTTGTTTTCAGTGAGGATCTATCTACCTAATATACCATACTTCTGGTCTTATTTAGTTTTCGGGTAGAAATTGTGCTATATAGCTTGAAAGTAAAGTGTCCAGTTATGTTGTATATTTGAATACTTCTTAAATATACTGATTTTCAAACAGGATTATTATGTAATGACTTGACAGGATACTGGTACAGCCAATTTATTATGACTATGGACATAACCAGTTTCTTTAAACTGTATGAAGCAATCAAGATTCATGTTGTCCAACACTCGGAAGAAGACTAGACCATGTCTGAAGATTTATTTATCCTTTAAACACCGATTCCATCACTGACTTACAATCGATCAAAAAGGACATGAGAAAATAAAATGAGATATATCGTTCTAGATATCTGATCAATATATATGAATATAGAATTGTTAGTAGGTAATATCAGTTGATCAGTAGTTTGGTGACACCAATAAAGTAACTGCCTTAACTTGGAAATATAACTAATCATCGAAATACAGATCTATATCCTTCTTGGCACACCTCCATCAACAATTTATTGTATTCTAGTTTATTTGCGTGGACATGTGTGTAACTGATTTGTTCTTAGATTATGTAGATTGTTCTTCTGGAGTTCCAGAGATTTCGAACTCCACATTACGTTATTGTTGTATATAAAAAAACAAACTTGACTTTTTGAGATTTACACCTGGATACACTAATAATAGCCTTCTTCAATAAAGAAATAGTTAACTAAAGTTGTGCAGTAAACTAGTATTTTGATTGTTCCTATTAAACAAATGCCTGCACGTCACCACTGTGGATCATTAATCTACTCCAGTTGAAAAGGAATGCTGTGACCTCCTTTATTACTTTGAAGTCACACCTCGCATGTTACCCTCTTCTGGTACGGAGGTGATGCGACTACTTTAGCGATTTCACAGAGCAATTAAAATATTACCAAATACGTGTGTTATTAGAAGAGATTGGAGAAATACTAATCACAGAGACTGCTACTAGGTCCATGAAGTGCCAGTTTGATTGGTACCCGAAAACTACTTGAGAGTTCCCGGTACCATCCAACTAAGTTCAGGTAAACATTGAGGCGTTGAAACTTATTGGGATACTTAAAATAACCACACCATTGATGAAGTGAAAGAATTATTTTGACGTGGATTGTATCTATCGAACTTCTGTGTCTAGACGCAATGACAGTGCGGTTTTCGATGCAAAAAATGAATCTTGAACTTAAATTTCGATAAATTATTTTTGTTTTTAGGTTTTATTTGAATTAATGGTTGTACGAGGTTTTGCACTAGCTTACTTCTCCGTGTTCGAAGATTTTATCGAATCATCACATTTTAAGTTTAGAAAGCTTTGTCCCAGTTTGTTTGATAACCTATACTTCACCGTAGTCACTAATATAGCTATAGAAGACTAATTGATGTGCCAGTCGAACAGTCTACTACTGAAGCTGTCCAAGAAGTAAACGAAAATGCAGAATTCTTAACTACAGCCCATCGAACAAAATTAAAGTATCCAAACATGAACGTACTCAAAAATCTGTAAAGTCGATCAAGGTCTGTGACTATTCCTCAATATTCACAAACTTTAAAGACCTCCCTAAGCTTCTGATGTGTGGGCGAGTATGATAATGATTGGTTGTCTGCTTAATCAGACATATAGATAGTCTGACAGGTGTCAGATTAGTTGTGTATTCCCCTATCATTATCATTATTACCCACTTATTATTGATCGTTCATTGTTTTTGGATTGTGTCGGGTTTTTTGGTGTGGAAATATATTAACGTTCTAGTCAGGCTAATCACATGTTCTTGATCTGAGTTGTGTTGAAGTCCTGTAGAATAGACACTGTGAGGGGATCTAGTGTAAATATTCGTCTATGGTAAATTAACGTTCCGTACGTGTAAACGTGAAAAACCAACCTTTATAACACCTTCCACTAGGTTTAGGCGACAAAATTGACAAGAACCCTGAGCGATAATTTAACTAAGATGTTCAAATTCAAAACACTGACAGCCATCGTCACTTACAGTGTTAGAACATCGGACACCCGTATCACCCCAGACTATGTAGCGTTCAATGATGCCACTGTTGAGAAGGATGTTATGTTGGCTTGTCAGTTTCTAAAATATGTATGTAAAAATACAGATGGATATACTATATCAATAATGCGATTTCATCAGTAGCACCACAATAGAATCTTGATAGACGTTCTTTCTGAAAAGAAACATAGCTGTACAGGGTATTCTAGAGTGGAAATTTATAAAGTAGTCCTCAAAGTTCAAGGATATCCTTTCCTAATAAGTGGTTCGGATAGCCTAGAGATTCGGGGATCTTAGACTTCTACTTATAATGGTGAAATTCTCCTCCTCCTAAATTGCGGCCGCCACTACCTAACCATTTCCTGCCAACAAACGTCGGTTACCATTCGGAATCTATACGGATCCGGGAAGGCCACATGATGGACATATTAGGCATAAACAAATTGTAACTGATTATTCTACCCGAGGACTGTCAAGAATAAGAAAAATTAGTACAAGCGGAAGGGACCATATATTCAGAAAATCCTAAGTATATAGCTTTCCTATGCATTCACATAAATGTCATTCAAACAAACAGAATGAGAACACACAAGCTTTCCAAATTGAAATATTTTACAATTGTATATTAACAGTGAAGGTTCAATGAACAAAGTCGCATGATTTAAGTAATGCCCATCAGAATCGTCCCATCCGGGAATACCTGAAACATGGGCATCTCAAATCACGGACCAGGAGCTGACAATATTCGGCATGTATGCTTCGTAACGATAAAAAAACTGGAATGGGAGTTTAGCAATTTTATTAAATCTATTTTGTGTTCATTAAGATGATCTAAAAAGTTAAGGTTCCTAAATGGAGTCACCTGTTGCTGACAATGAGCATGATGGTCGTATGGTGAGGGGATTATTCCTCCTTGTTCGTCTTGAATACACTTATATAATAATATTGAAAGCCTTCAATCTCCCTATAGTCTACTTTGTTGGACACAAGTCATTCCTACGGAATTCATCTTGAGATTTTCGATAATGCACTCAAAATTTTATAAGAATTGTTATGTGCCAAAAAGTTTCTTCATGGGGTAACGATTCCAACGATTCCATAACGGCTTTCCAAGTTATAACGTGCTTTCACTACTAACCCGTCAAGAATTTTAAGAGTACGTTTGGTAAAATCACCTCAATGATCCCTACTACATTCTTAAGTGGGAAAAGACGAAACAACTGCTCAAGAGAAGGTTGAAAACATTCAATCGGTGAATTATAATAACATGTGCAGGCTAGTAAGCAAAATATTGCCTGAATTATGTCAATTATACATTAATACGTTGTTGCCGAACCACCCGAGAGTCATAGCTACAAACGGGATAGAATAAAAATAAAACTCGTAAAAGCCACTGTCAATATCCTTATGTTTAATGATATCGACCGAGGATGGGGGATTGAGCTACGGTCCTTAAGTTATAACTTCACTCGGCTTGACATGACAATTTGATCGGTTTCCGTCAATGAAAAAATTCTCTCTGATTATGAAGAATATGCCTAACAAATCTACTTATTAGCTTCTCAATTATACACAAAAAGTGCAATCTCTGCAAACTTATTCACTAAAATGGGATATTACCGCAGACTTTTGAAATCTACACCGCCTAAATTGGTAGTCGTTGACATTTCTGCACACAAAATGTGCTCATCAACCATGCAATGTGTGGACATTTATGCTCCTGCTTGCAAGAAATATCGATTTCCTCTTGAGGTTTATAAGTAGGGATGAAAAGAGGTAAATTTTGCGTAGTGCATTAGTTTTGGTAGAAGTTCTATAATTAATATCTTTTGTGAAGTAGAGCTCATGCATGAAAATCGAAACTTTTATACAGTTCGTTTTGGCCAGTTTCGTAAACAGCACTATCTTTAAGATTTCATGTTTTAATTCGTTTTCTCATTTATTGTTGACCGGTAGTTCTACGCGCTTTTCTTGAAAATCACGATAATGGACATACTCTCAAGGTTACTGGCTAGTTGTGATGATCCCTGCATTGTCTGAAAATATGTTAGACCCGAACATTTGTATCAAAAAGCCTTTTGATTTCGGATATCCTGTTTTGTGTGGATCTTTAAGATGGAAACAAGGAGATGAAGAAGGAAAATGGGCTCAGAAAGCTATCGAAACATTAATTAAAAAGTTGAAGAAGCGAAAAGGTGTTTTAGAAAGGCTTCAGTACGCCCTACTTCACCCAAACGAGCCCAGTGAGTGTGTAACTATCCCACGATCGCTAGATGGTAGAATTCAGGTTTTGTCGCAAATTTCTTCACTTCACTTATATAGGTTTCTCATCGAAAAGGATTTCCACATGTAATATACTGCAGGGTCTGGCGTTGGCCAGATCTACAGAGTCACCATGAGTTAAGGCCTGTAGAGAATTGTAAATTACCATTCAGTTCTAAAGAAACGGAAGTGTGTATAAACCCATATCATTATACTCGCGTTGATTATCCTGGTAAGATTTAGTTATTTTTGCTATTCAAATTAGTCTTGCCCCCTGTATTAGTGCCCAGACATAACGAATACCCGACAATGGAGTCTACTAAAAAGGAGTCTCTAAGTGACGAAACATGTGATTCACACTGTTATTCAGGTTAGTATATTTCCTTAGTTTTTTACATTCAGATTCACATAACCTCATTTTTTCCTAATATATCTAGACCGTAAGGAGTACTAAGAAAATGTGTTTGTCACGTTTTATGGATTTATGATACATCCCGCATCCATGTAAAGGATACTGCTAATCTTCCGCAAAACAGTAACCACACGTTAATCTAAAAAAACTAAATTCATTATAAATAGATAGTTTCCACGCTGCTTTCAAGGAATTTATGCAAGCACCTTGTCTTACTCTTCATTTCACCAACGTCAAGATATTCGGTCCTATGTTTTATTTTGCACTACCTTACCATCTGGGTATGGATTTTACGTTTCTGTATGTCCTTATCCTTGTTATTCCCAAATAATAACTTTTCATGGCAAGTTTGGGGTCGGTATTAGTTTGTATGCATGACGGACCACGTATTTTCGAAATGGTGGCGGACGCTGTTCAAATTTTCATTAAACAACCTATGTAGGAATAAGGACTCGAAAATTTCTAAGAGTTAAATTCAAAACCTCATCATTTGTAATGTCGGTGAAGTATGCTGACAATAATACGGATACAGTCTCAGAGAATTTTTCAGTGTTTCTATCAAACCCATTTTTTGCTAGTGCGTTTCGAGTGATCATTAAAAGGGCGATCTCTGCACATTTAGTAGCTTCATTCGGCTGTATAGGAATTTCTCTTTCTTAAAATTAGTCATTTATGGGTTTGAGAGCAAGACAACCTCCACATGTCAACCATCCGTTTCCGGATCCCTCTGTTAAGTTGATATTCTGGGGACAATATGTTTATATTCACCTATAAAAAATACAAAAGAAGTTACATATGAATAGTACACACATGAAATCATTCGCTTGACTTTATCTGTCGGTAGTCACCGTGTTAAAGCAACACATTCAAACTTGATCATATAAAATGGCACACTAACTTTCATATTTATACATTAAGTTAATCCATGATTATTTTGCCTGCTTGCCGTAATTTAGTTGGGTTTAAAGTTGACTTAGTATATAATAAATATTTTAGATGAAGTTTTAACCGAGATGCTTCCCGTCAAATTGTTTTTTTAGTGTAACCTCAACTGTATATCAATGTGTACTACACTAGGCTTAATTAGGGATTTACCGTTGTTTCATACATAAATTATTTGTTGGCTCATGTTCTTAGTGTGATAAGTCTGGCTTGTGAATATTCGCCATATCTTGACACTATAATAAAATGCTTATTTATCCGAGGCTAAGCTACAGAGATAATTTAATTAGTGAATTATCTAACTCTTCAAAAACTGATCACCCTGGAAACACATCGACATGGAGCACTCGGATGGCATAACCCTATGTAATTGAGATGTTTATACAATACAGCCTCTTAAACGTCTTCAGTCAAAATCCGCGTTTTTCTTTCAAATGCAAAATCTTATTTTAGGACTGATTTAAGACATTTTCAAGACTGACCATAAGAAGTGAAACAGTTAAATGTCAACCAATTCACTTGGAATTCTCTTCAGCTCTAGTGGGTTGGTGTTTAATAGAATAGAAAAAATTCGCAATGATTAACTTGTTTGCTATTCGTTTTGTCGGTTTCATCTTGTTGCACTGTTTTTGGCGTGACAACTTCGGTAATATATATTTTTGTCGGCGTGTAGGTTGATCATGACTAATTCATGTGAAGTCTATTAGGGTTCTGAATATTGGTTTTTAATGTATACCTCCAGGTTTTAAATTATGCAAGTGTTTACTGCTTCCAGTAGGTCACAATAAATTTATATGGCGAATTCGTTAGAAAAGATTTCACATCTTTCTAAGTTACCTAGTCGAGTTTTTTTAGCTTTCGGTATTCACTTGGTCCTGTTATAATATGCTTTGCAGGGATTGACTCACATTTACCAAAAACAAGTCTGTACACTGCTGTGAGCCCGCTACATGAAGGCCAGTAGTACTAATCAACTTCTGAGACCTAAGTAGATTTAAATTAACTTGTCTGAAAACTGAGTGCTCTAATATATAAGCAACTGCTCTGTATTCAAGGGTTGATTTTAGTATTTTACTAGGTGTTCCTATGTTATTTGTTAGAGGAAAAATCTGTCTCTTTACTTGGATTTGATTTTATAGAATATATTCTTGTAGAGTTTTTAAGCTATTTTCAACGGCTTGGTGTCCCTTGATGTATAGGTTACAATGCGAGAAACAAATAAAACCTTATATGAGTTTAAAAAGTTCAGGCAAATGTTTTTACATTTAAGACAGTTAGCTACTAAACCCACGTATTAAAAATTTAACGGCTAATTAATGAGCGATCAGATGTGGGAAAGACAAAATAGAAGTGGTTTACGTCGTACAGTTCTGCCTCAGAAATAAGACGCAGTGCCGTAACAACCAAGTAACAGACGCCAATAAACGGCTTTCTATAAGTAGACGATCGATTCGGAGTGAACTTCACCTAAATACCCGCAGCGCTTTTCTTAAAGAGGTTTACTTTTTTGATTTCACGGTTCTGTCTCTCAACTAGTTTTGCGCTTGGAGATTCTGAAGCTGCTTATGTATAAATAGAAGAGCAGTCTTAATCTCCAAACTGTTATTATTTTTCGGCGTGGGGCAATGAATCTTATATATTTGCTCAATTATAACTGAATTTGGTGTAAACTTTTGTTTGTTACGTATTATAAACCAAGGCTTGGTGTGTAACATTTATTTTTGTCTTCCACCTGATGTGTTTATTTCAACTTCGATCATAAATAGATGAATGAACAGGAGTTCATTAAATCTTGGTGGTTATGAGTGACTGAACGATTTCGTTTATGCTTATTCGTAAAATGTTGTAATTCATTTTTCTATACTTTGCCACAGGATTCCATGCCGTAAATTATCAGGAACCAAAATATTGGTGCAGTATTGTATATTATGAATTAAATTCACGTATTGGTGAAGCATACTTTGCCAGTATACCCAGTATCATTGTCGATGGCTTCACCAATCCAGGTCGGGATAGTGGTCGGTTTTCCGTAGGATTTCTATCAAATATCAATAGGAGCCTGGCTGTTGAAAATGCCCGCAAACAAATTGGAAAGGGTGAGTTTACTTCTGTTTATTGGTACTTGGTTTATTATATACGTTTATAAGTATAATTAAAAGTTTGAGCTACATTTGAATAGTGGCTTCTCACTGAAATTGCTCGTTTACAAAAAACGATTATCTTTCATTTTAGTGAACTAATAGTAGTTTTTAAAATTGTTTCACATGTCTTAAGTGAAAAAGCCACTTTATTCTTACATTTGTGTAAAACACAGGATATCATATAGGGTCTCTAATGGTCGTTAAATGGTCTACTTTTTGGTAACACTAAACACACCACAACCTCGATAAACCTTGCCATTGAAGTCCGCACGTCAATGGAACTGAAAATATGCTATCCCTCTCAAGATAAATATATATTAGTTCTGAAATGCTTATTATCAGCATAATAAGAGAGAGCAAGATAAAAATCAAAGGAGTCAAAACAGTAGCACCAATGACACTAATGACAAGAAATATACCTCAAAAAGTAGGTACGATGCAGGTAAAAAGTAGTACTGAAACTCATTACTTAGAAGACAATAGTGTATACATCTACAACAGCACAATTCATTTTAAAACCGTATCGTCTAAAGTTGCTATCAGTCAGTAACAACGTAGAACTTCGTACGTATGTACATCAGTTCGAGTTGCCACAACACATTAGCACGGAGAGGCAGTTGTCGATTCAAATCCTATAGTTGTGGAGGTAGTGATAGTATAAGCAGTAATCGGAAACATTGGAGTTTGAAGATGTTATTCAAGGAGTATAATCCGGTGAAATAAATTGGGAAAAATAAAAAAGAGACATGAAGAATTCAGAAGATCAGAATTTGGGAGAACACAAAGAGTGTATGCACCTGCACCATTGCAAACGATTTTGATCCATTTCATTCAGGGTCTCTAACCATCGGTTGCTATCATCTCGCGGTCCCCAACCAGGTAGTCTACACCTACCAACATGACTCAGTTCACTTGTTAGTGACTTCATGGACTTGTGCCATGTTTTGGTCTGGCCGCCTCTAGCTTTCTACCAACCTACTCCTATACCACTGAACTTCGCGCGTCAAGGCAGTCGGTAGTTGGGCATACGTTATACGTGTCCCAGCCATCTCAACTGATGAAGTTCCACTACTTCATCAATTGATTTGCCATCCTTACCTAGTACCCGTTTCCTAACAACTGTGTTACTCGATGGTCCTAGGACATACTAGTAATGTTTCGAAGACACCTATGATCAAATACTAGTAACCTACGAATATCCTCTACTCTTACCGGCCATGTTTCACTGCACAGTAAACACGTCCATTGGTTGACAGACGGATATCTCGCCTACGCCATAAATGACGCAAGTTGGTAAAAGCTAGTCGAGCCTTCAAACTTATCAGATTATTTCTCGAATTATTGCTATTCACTCGCATACACAAAGCTACATGTGTCTCACCACACCACACCACACCACACCACGGAGAACCAAATAGGTCATATTTGCATCAGTAAAAAAGAAGTGAGAACCAAAAGAGGAGCTGACATAGCTTCAGATCACCACCTGGTGGTTACCAAGATGAAATTGAAGCTAAAGGAGCATTGGACGACCGGACAAACAGCAGTACAGAGGATATTTGAGCAAATGTGAGAATTACATAGGCATCACACTACTGTCAGTACCAGGAAATGTTTCCAGCAGTGTGTTGCTGAACCGGATAAAAGACTCAGTAGACGCCAAATTTCGAGATCAACAGCCTGGATTCCGTAAAAATCGATCGTGCACAAACCAAATCGCGACACTATGGATAGTCGTTGAACAATCGATTAAATGGAACTCGTCACTATGCATCAACTTCACTGACTATGAAAAGGCGTTTGACAGTGTGGGTTGGAGAAACTTATGGGAACTTCTTCTACACTATGGTATACCTGAGAAGATTGTCAACATCATCCGGAATTCATACGACGGACGCTGACAGATGCATTCCAACTAAGGACCGGAGTCAAACAAAGCTGCTTACTCTCCTCCTTTCTCCTTCTTCTGGTGGTTGACTGGATTCTGAAAACCTCGATATCTGACGGAGAACACGGAATAAAATGGAAAGGTTGGATGCAACTAGATTTGGACTTGGCAGATGACTTGGCTTTTTTATCCCGTACACAGCAACAAATGCGAGTCAAGACAAACAGTGTAGCAGCAGCCTGTGCATCAGTATGCCTCAACATACACAAGCGGAAAATCAAGATCCTCAAATAAAACACGGAGAACACCAACGCAATCACTCTTGATGGAGAAGCTCTGGAAGATGTGGAATCTTTCACGTACCCGGGAAGCATCAACGATGAATAGGGAGGATCTAATGCAGACGTAAAGGCGAGGATTGGCAAAGCAAGGGCCGCATTCCTACAATTGAAGAACATATGGAACTCAAAACAGTTGTCTACCAACCAACACCAAATTCAAAATCTTCAATACGAACGTGAAGACAGTTCTAATGTACGGAGCTGAAACATGCAGAACTACTACAACCATCATCAAACAGATACAAGTATTTATAAACAATCGTCTACGTAAGATACTGATTGTCCGTTGGCCGGATACCATCAACAACAGCCTACTATGTGGAAGAACAAAACAAACGAGCTTCTAGCTGAAGAGGAAATTACGAAAATTCGTTGGAAGCGGGTAGGACATAAATTACGAAAATCATCAAACTATATTACAAAGTAAACACTAACTTGGAATCTTGGAGGAAAATGGAAAAGAGGAAGGCCAAAGAATAGATAGCGCAGGGAATTAGAGACAGACATCAAAAGGATGAATAGCAACCGGAAGGATCGCCCAGGACGGGGTTGGATGGAGAGTGCTGGTGAGGGTTTATGCTCCTCGACGAGGGGTAACGCGCGTTAGTTTGTAGGTTTATCGGAACACCTTACATTTTAAAGGTATAAATTCGGAGTCCTTAAAATGATATCGATTACTTTTATACTGTAAATCTTAAATTGAAGTAACTATAGAATTTTAAGCACCAACTTGTTATATCCTAGTAAAGATTACATTACGATTAACGTTTGAGACCTATTAATGGACTAATATTATTTATATATTCTTATGGTATAAATATTCAGTAACTAGATTATGTATATCTGTATTCCCCTTGTTATAAGCTTTATTTTGACCTATATATTATTATTGCACGATTTACTGTTCTTAAGCTATGTTCAGTTTATTGACTACTGCCTCCCAAGTTTACAGTCACTTTTTTGCTTTATTGTTAATTAATGTTATTTCCTATTTTATGGTACGTTGCGGTCTGTTTGTTCGGTATATAAACCCAGTATGTCTGAAATAAATGATTCGCGTAGTGGAGGCTGTTATTGGCATTCTGGACTCAGCTGGACGGGCTAGGCGAGCAACGGACCAATAGGACACTAGGCTGACCAGACCGGTCGAACATCATTGGTTTAGTACGGTATAAGAGCGAATAATTCGTATTTTGATTGGCGAATAGATTACTTGATAACAAGCGGCTCATAAAGTCACAACACAATTGTCTTATCATGAAAGAAGTCTTATCGTTTTTTTTAAATTTCTGTACTTTCTTTGGAGTGTACTCATTTCATAGTTTTGAAATTCGAAAATTCTTTTAATCTATGCACATCATATCCTAACTTTTCAAGTTAAGGTGATACATTTTTAAGAAAATATTGGGATTAGTTTTGGCGAAGTCCCCTGGATGAAATGCAACTGTTGTTAAAACTTTAATTTTATTTGGCTGTTCGAGTGACTTTCTATGAAGATCGCATTAATTAAGTTACTTTCCTCGCGAAAAATATTAATCACAATTCAAGCATCATTCATAATTCAATCTTCATTTATCATTAATCATTGTCTATATGTGTGAATTTACAAAATAACAGTCTGTCATTTCATGTGTATGTATATTTCTCAAACTCTTATATAAGTCAACTGGGCTACAGTTAAGTAAGGTTGATAATCGCTAGCATGTATATTACTATCCTCATACATACATGAACAAAATTTATGCTTGCATTTTCCATATTCTGTTTTGTCCATTAATAAGCGTAAACGTAATTTTAAAAGGATAAATGAATGGACAATAAATTACGTACGATTTATACGTGGTGACTATAACTTAGTTTCTAGCAAAATCCTCCTATCCTTCTACCATGTTCTCGGAAAGTGTATTTAACTATGTATCCTTCTACATCGTACCATATCATTACACTTTAATACCCCTGCACAACTGATCTCCCCATCCACTAAGTATTTTACTATACATTTTAAAAATCCAAAAACTTGCTTCCTTTAAAATCATGTACACAGAAATCCCTTAAATTCATGCATATTATTATTATTGCATATTCTATGATGGCGCCATATTGAATGCCACTTGACTATGGGCGCCTATAAATGGTTGTTAGTTTTTCTTTTAGGTTTTTCCTCTTTTCCTTTCTATATGCAATAATTTATAGCCTTTCCTCTTTTCTTATCTCTTCCCATGCCCCTCATCATCACTTTCACATTAGGAGCCGTCTACATTCACTTAAAATTTGATTGGGTTACCTATAAATTTTCGACTTAAATCTTATTATTTTCATAATTATTGTTATCGTATTTATTGTTGTGAATATTATTCCAATTAAGTATGAATTTTTGTTTGTTTTCTCGTGTTTTTAATCGTAAAAATGTAGCCTTGCTATTTACCATTACTAGCCAGTGATAATAATAATAATAGTAATATTATTAGAGCGCCATTCATATTTGTAGCATTTTTTTCGTTTACTTCGTTATATAATCACATTTGATGGTGAGTTTTCTATTCCTAAATGCAATTAACCCTCACTTTACTAGTAGAAATATATATACCTTCAGTTATTGTTTACCTGATAGAGTTAGTGGCTCAGACTATTTTCGTCATTTACTATTTCTTTTGCAAAGTAAATTGTAAGGGAAATTTTAAACCGTCTGTGGTATTAACGTATGACAGCGTTTATTATTTCCATAGACATCTACTGGTTTTCAGGTTTAATGTTATTTATTGCTTCACCTACTTCACTTTGAACGGCTGAGTAACACCAGTAATCCTCTCACAAAACCGTGTAATTTAAAGAATTTACATAAACTTGCACTTATATATTGAATTGAATCGAATTGCTCAAGTTTTAAGTTCCTATTTCCAATGGGAACAGCACCGTGGGCCTTATTTTTGTGATGTCAGTGATTAAATACGGACTTTTTTCTGCATGTAAATTATTTCTGTTTTGAATAGCTTTTTCACCAGTGCCATAATAAATGTATATCATCAGTTGTCTAGAAAATTGAATTTCCCTTCACTTTTCATTGTGATGTCAATACTATCGTGTAGATTTTAAGGAAATAACAATTTTGTTAACGGTTGTCTAACTCATTAATGCCACCTGCTTACTTGTATGGTAATCTATGAGTACCTCCCAGAATGTTACATTGTTTAGGACAAAAAGGAATTATCCAAGCGTTTATATATTCACTTAAGTTTTGACTCTTTAAGAAATATTTTTGTTTGTTTGTTCCACATATTCTTATTTTTGTTCATCGAATTATATCTTCTACGTCTAATCTTTTCTACTACCACTAATACTGTCACTACAGCTACTACTTTGGGATTTCCCTTGACGATTTCATTTCGCTGTGCTAATATAGTGTAGCAAATTGAATCGATGGACATTTGTACCAGATTATACGTTACGTTTAACTGACTGATCGCAATAAATTGCACATATAGTTAGCATTCATAATTACTTGTTTAAAACAAATCTAAAACGGGTTAGACCACTGTCTAGATCTATGCATGCCATGATATAGTCATATATAAAATTTCCCATGTTACGACTTCGTTGATCAAGCGAAATATTATGTATTGACTTTAAATGTGATTTTCATTCTGTAGGTTTTCGTATCCACTCACTGTGAACTTCTTTCTTTTGGTTTCCAATTCATTTTTTGTTCAAGTCTCAATTGTTCAATTTGATAATTTTTGTTAGTAATGATCAGTCAATTTTATCAGTATTTAGTTGAATTAACCCAAGTATAAATTGAAATCTTATTGGCTTTATACCAGTTGAATCTTCCTTGTAAGATTTATGGTTTCAAGTTATCGGGACTAAGAAAGAAGAAAGCTATCATATTCTGTTTATAAGTGTCGTCAGGGATATCCTTGTGACATAAATCACCTTACGATTTTTAACTGATTAAATACGTGGCTGTGTTGTGAGACGTCTAACCTGTTATTTGTACATTAAGTATCCAAGTGAAAGTATGACTATGGATTACTTGTAGGATATAACTAAAGATTACGAAGTAACCAATGCTACTTTGGTTCTGCTTGTCATAACACTGGTTGACTATTTTCATTTCATTGGAATCATGAACCGATCTAAGTTAGACCACCACTGCTGAACTCCATTGGTCACGGCTTCTTACTAGAACTCTTACTAGAACCAGTTGATTCTTTCGTACAATGCATACATTAGTAAAAGACTGATTGAAAACGAAATTATTCTGTATACACAACATTGAAAGACAGATGCTCATATTGAATGCTGATACTGCACACTGATCACAAAGTAGACGGTATTCAAAAATTGACATCATAGAGTAATGTAGACGTCTTAAAATGCGGTTTTCACGTGTTAATTCAACCGGTGAGAAGTCATGACTAGTGGAGCTAATCCATATCGAGTGTGAGGCAGTCACCCAACGAAGATAATGAATGATGGCCGCGAAATATTGTGGATTGATCGAGGTTAAACAATAACACCGTTGGATTATGGCTCAGTAGTCTAGATGTTAAGAGTTCGCGTGAAAGACAGGTGCTGGTTTCGAGTCCCATGTGAGGAATCTTGGATGCACACTGTCGAGGAGTCCCATAATAGTACGAAACGGCCGTTCAATTTCTCCGAGTTTTTGAATGGTGGTCTAACATTGATTGGTTCATGATCTCAATAGAATTCAGCAATCTCCGCCATCCCTTACCGACAACTATTTTCATCCCTTTTTCTTCTATCTGTGTTAGATAGTTTTGTACTTAAGTTCGTTTTAATATTATGATTAAAATCTTTGGAAACAATCGGGAATTAAATTTTATCCCTACAAAGATGACCGAAACCAACAAAAAATGGGTTTTCTAGTCTTCAATTTAAAACTTCAAAATTAGTGGCTGAATGCCTTGAAGTTTTCTGATAAATTCCCTCGGATTTCACATTGTATCTTCAATCGAAGCTGCAATAAATCTCTTGTTTCGTACTTGTGTTCTCATTTGTTTAGGCTAAGGTATAAGATTATCAAAGTAATTGGTGCGTACTGATGTTTGGGCGTTTTTTGTTAAAGCTGAATCATCATTAAATTTAGCTTTGAAATTCTAAACTTCAAAAATGTTTATTCTACCGTTTAGCGATTGTGATTACCGAGCTAAGATAGTCCTAATATGGAAATAATATATGAGTTTTATTGAAGGCTTATAAAATGTGTCTTTATAGTTTATCATAGAACATTATTAATAAATTCTTAGTGATTGACTGTTTATGAAATGTATTTTGTCTATAATGATGCCTAGTGTATTCCTTTTAACGTCTTATTTAGGTGTTCACTTGTTTACTTTTGGTGGTGATGTTTACGCAGAATGCTTATCGGATTGCAGTATCTTCATTCAGTCCCGCGAGTGCAATGAACGTCATCATTTTCATCCAACAACTGTGATTAAAATACCTCCAGGTGGATGCTTACGCATATTTTCCAATCGTCAATTTGCTCATATTCTTAGTTATACTATATCACGAGGTGTTGAAGCTACTTATGATCTTGTACGTATGTGTACCATACGATTAAGTTTTGTTAAAGGTTGGGGTGCTGAATACCATCGACAGGACATTACTTCTACACCATGTTGGATAGAAATCCACTTGCGTGGTCCTTTCTTATGGCTTGATCGCGTTCTTCGTCAAATGGGTCCAAGTAGAAGTCCAATATCCTCGGTTTCCTAACTCACAAAAGCTTTACTATATCAACCACTATCAGTCATTTCTTGTTTTATTTTACTCTATCATACACAAACATACCCTCATCACCGTCCCGCTACACCCATATTGTGATCATTTATTTGAGTGACAAAACTTTATCAATATTTTATTCACTCTGTGATTATGTGGTTATTCAGTTATAATATACCACTTACTCATTGTCAAATAAGTTTACCAATTTTATTGTTTTTGTATACGCTTCCTCACCCTTCTTTTCTAATTTCTAAACAGATTATCATATTGCGTTTTATGCACTCACTTTCTACCTTAAACACCTATGTATTCACATATTGTGTTGTTTTTATCCACCTAATTTTTAAATCATATTGAAGAATCACTAATTCTCGCCCTGTTATTTTTACTATTCCGATAATTTGTTGTATGTAATATGTACCTTTACCGTGATTACCTATACTGCACACTCTATTTAGATCACATGTATTCGCTTTTTTGCCTATTATCATAGTATTAACATTATTATTATTACCTGTCTGTGACTCTGACCCAACAACCAAGCGCCTATTGACTTTCTTTATATTTTCAACTCTTTAACTGAATAGAATTTTCACCCTTTTTACGTACATATTTGCTCACAAAACAACTGTGTACATGTGTGCTCTAAATCTTGATGATAATGTTGTGTTTTCAAAGTATGTACCAATAACAAGTAAAGTTAAATATTTTTTCGTTTTATCATTATTCTGTGATAAGCTTTTCTCATGTTGAGTTTTAAGTTCGTAAGTGATTTTTGTTATCATATAAAGTAATAGCATTGTCGAAACAAGAGAGCACAATCATTTCGATATAGCTCCTGAAATTCCCACGATTACATGCCGTCGATCCTGTTATAGTACTTGAAATTTTGAGGGTACCTTGTACCTTAATTGCTTTGCGAATTTTATGATACTCATTGGGAAAGTAGATTGAGCAATGCAAAACACTACAATATAACGCCATAGTTATAGCTATTACATTACCCATAGCTTTTTTCAAAATGGAAAATACAAGGTAAATGCATCCAAATGATTGCGGTTTATAATACATGTTGCTTAGCGCCTGTAGTCAACTTTTTTTATTCAATGTACTGGATATCCTCTCCAAGAAGTCTAGTATAATCTAACTGGTATAGGTCAACAGTCAAAAACTCCTATAGGTTTTATTCTTAGTTTACTCCAATTCGGATTTGAAAAGTTTGTCGATTAGTAATGAATTCAATAGAAATTTGTAATTTATAGCTATTGAGATTATAGGATGAAATTACCTTTAATACTTTAGTTGTGTCAGGAACTGGTGGAATTACAAAATGTCAGTTTCGTATTTTATATTGCTCGAGAAACACTTCGTCATGTATTTGAAATGTAAATAAATTTATAATCCATGTATATTAACAATATGAAATTAAGAACATAAATCCAACTTTACAACTAACTCTGAATGACAGATCACGAACAATCTTACACTGATGCTGTTACCTCAGTTGGAACTGTAAATATCTTTCAGAGGTACAAGTATATATACTTAACATATTTCATTTATGACCATTAGTTCTGTTAATTTGTTGTATATCTTTGTGATTTTCCTATATGTGTTCACAAACGTTTCTTGTAATAAGAAGAACACTGACAAGTGAAATCGTTTGTCAACTTTCTGTACTTTGATCTCAGTTGACTAGATAACTTTCCGACATTTTACGGATTTAGGAAGGAAAAGAACCAGTTGATTCTTTCGTACAATGCATACATTAGTAAAAGACTGATTGAAAACGATTTATTCTGTATACACAACATTGAAAGACAGATGCTCATATTGAATGCTGATACTGCACACTGATCACAAAGTAGACGGTATTCAAAAATTGACATCATAGAGTAATGTAGACGTCTTAAAATGCGGTTTTCACGTGTTAATTCAACCGGTGAGAAGTCATGACTAGTGGAGCTAATCCATATCGAGTGTGAGGCAGTCACCCAACGAAGATAATGAATGATGGCCGCGAAATATTGTGGATTGATCGAGGTTAAACAATAACACCGTTGGATTATGGCTCAGTAGTCTAGATGTTAAGAGTTCGCGTGAAAGACAGGTGCTGGTTTCGAGTCCCATGTGAGGAATCTTGGATGCACACTGTCGAGGAGTCCCATAATAGTACGAAACGGCCGTTCAATTTCTCCGAGTTTTTGAATGGTGGTCTAACATTGATTGGTTCATGATCTCAATAGAATTCAGCATTCTCTACAACCCTGTACTCATAGTCAACTGATATCAGTTAGTAAGATATAATTTTCAAACTGAAGAAATGACCTCATAAACGAATCATTTAGGTAAAATTAATGAATACTGTTTATTATGATAAGGTTTTGCTTATGTGTCGTTTATTCATAGATTTAAAGCGGATTGTGTCAAATAATAAAGTCTGTTACTTGTTGCCCTATTCAAATGCCTTATTTCATGCATAAAGGGACTCATTATTTTAAATTCTATAGAACAAGAGTAAAGTATTTGAAAAATGAATAATAATATTTTTCTAATAAATTCGTTAAGAACACAACCTTCTCCCTTCACAATTCTCTTCACTAGATGATCTGGAATAATAATGTTCATGTTCTCACTAGAGATTAGCTTCCAATTAGTTTTAGTGTTATTCTATGGAGAAACTATGATTTGTAGTCAGTAAACTTAAGAATAACCCATTGGTCAACCGATGATATTGTAAAAATTTCCTATATTTCACAAATTGACTAGAAAATGTATGCCATCGGGTCTCGTCTCGATCCACTAAGTTTTACTGAGTTTTCTGAAAGATTTGATGGTTCTGAGTTCGGTTACAACTTGTTGTCTCTTTACAATGCCTAGAAATCATAAAGTTGTAATGAAACAAATGTTATAATCAGACCAGTGAAGCAAAATACAATTATTACTTAAATCTATATTCTGTTTTTCAACTATTTATTTATTTCAAAAGATGAAATACTAATTTTTTTAAAAATTTAATCTTAGAGATTATAAATTTTTTACTAATCATTAGTTTGTTCACCATTATTTCTTAATGCAATTCATTGCTCTAGAGTGATATCACTGAATCGTTTCTCATTTTTCCTCAACATATTTCTGGGTAACATAGATGTTATCAAAAACTATTCTGTCTTTCAACTGACAACTTATGAATGATATATATCCAACATTCCAGGGAGTAATAACCTTGGAATTCTAATGTTTGTGGATTTACTTTAAGTTTTATCAAACTTTCCACCTCTAACTTTCATTTGCTTCCTTTTCAATTGTATGTGTTATGTTTAGAGCTTCACTGTGCTTAATGTTATTTCTCCTCTTTGATTATTATCTTTTTACTTATTTTTTTTTTATTACTCACAGTTCTGATGTTAGATTTACTAGCTATGACCGATACACATATTCAATATTTGTGATGGCTTACTTATAATGTTCATTATTACGTAACCAACATAAAGCTTCTAACAACTATTTTCAAAATGAAACTGTTCTGTAATTGAATTATATATTTTTTTTGGTAGAAATGACATGCTGTTAGGTGAAAAACTGAAAAATTAGTGAAGTTTACTCTAATGAATATTCCGTATTGGGAATAAATATAATATTCTATATTTAAATTTGTTAAAAGTTAAATAATATATTTCATTGGAAAAAGTTACATTCTATTCATGTTTCTATCTCATTGAATCAAAGTTTATAAGTATATAAATAGCTTCATAATTTTATTTCGTCACGAACATACTACTTAAATTTATTATAATTTTTATTTCAATCAACTATTCTCACTTTGAAACGGAAAAGAGAATATATTTAATTTTGTTCATTTCAAAAAAAGCGAAAACTTTTGTTCAATGAATATTTCATTAGTTGAAATCATGAGTCAATTAAAGCTAGACCACCATGGAAAATCTGGAAGCATTGGACGGTCGTTTCGTTCTAGTATGGTCGTTGAATGGTCTTTGACCGTTCAACTAGCCTATACATTGACTTCAAATTTGTACATAGATTTCGTACAGATCTCACAAGATTTTAACGTTGTGATTTTTTAAATCAACAGGGGCATTAAGCTTAAAATTTGTATTCAAAATCAATATTTTTAGTCTTTTGACTTTTTATTGATCTTAGTGCCAGATTTTGCATTATCGTTCTTAAATTACGCATATATTCTGTGAATCTCTTACGATTTTAAGCAAGTATTCTTGGTGAATTTGATTTTGCTCATGAATTAATATCGATCGTGAACCAGTAAAAGCCACTGAGCGCTGAACAGATGTTTTGTCCTAGTGTACGAATTTCCAGATTCTACATTATAACATCACTAGGACCGTCTATCTCACAACTAGCGCGTTGATTACAGGTCATTAGCCCACATTTACAATTTTAGCTAATTAATGTACCACGACATCCTCCAGTTATACTGGTTTTGTTACAGCTATATCACTAACAAGGTGAACTCCTCTGTATATTCTTCTTGTCTTTATTGGAATTGTTAACAATGCCCGTTAGTCATTTTTCATCATAAAAGTTATGCCTAAAAATCTGATATTTGCATATAGATGAATATTTTGATGTAGTAATTGTTTAAAAATAGATCTCACTGAATTTCTCATTTATTTATGTCCTTGTACAAATTATGGTCAGATTAAGGTAATCAGCTGGCAAAATATGTTAGTCAATCCAGTAACTGATGAATGAAGTACAACTTTGATATTTATTCTAGTAGCATTAAAAAAGTAATCGATATCCAAGTAGTTCAGTAAAGAAAAGGTAATTGATCGTGAAGATAAAATAACATAAACGAACGATTGTAAAAGCCATTTATTATCTGTTAAAGAAGCTAAATGGAGAAATTATAAAATAAGAAATGATAAATTATAGTGACAAACTGCTAAGTGACGTAGGGTATGAATCAAACGTTGAATATCCCATAATCTACAAACCAATAATTCGGACAA